AGGTACACAAATACAGTAATTATATATATATATATATATATATATATATATATATATATATATATATATATATATATATATATATATATATATATATATATATATATATATATACACAGTGGACCCCCGCATAACGATCACCTCCGAATGCGACCAATTATGTAAGTGTATTTATGTAAGTGCGTTTGTACGTGTATGTTTGGGGGTCTGAAATGGACTAATCTACTTCACAATATTCCTTATGGGAATAAATTCGGTCAGTACTGGCACCTGAACATACTTCTGGAGTGAAAAAATATCGTTAACCGGGGGTCCACTGTATATATATATATATATATATATATATATTGTAAATTACCTAGGCTAACCCAAAAAATACAGACAAAGTGCTATACTATGCTTGTAGATATAAGGCATAATAAGCATGACTGGTAAGTAATACACATTTTCACTTGTTCAGGAATCAGATGTGATGACTCTGCATCATGTAATACCTGTTGTTCTCTGAGACAGAGACAGGAAGACAAACACAGGCAGACAGAAAGACAGACATGCAGAGACAGAGATAACACACAGACAGAGCTAGACAGACAAATAGAGGAATAGAAACATAGAATGTTTATGTGGGGTGTTTTTTGGGGGGGCTAGAATGGATTAATGGCATTTCAGTTAATTTCAATGAGGAAAATCAATTTGATATACGGGCAAATTGAGTTACGAGCTTGGTCACAGAATGAATTAAACTCGAGGTACCACCGTATAGGGTTTGCTGCTATCTATGGTAGATCTTGGAACATATCCCACGTGGATACGGGGGACTACTGCAATTATGTTTTTTCCAAAATAAATGAAGGAATTTAGGTTATTTGTACAGTTCATTTATACACAGAACAGGTTTCTTTTCTATATTTATACTTGCACAAATTACAAGTGAAGGATAAATTAGCCTGTCTCCCACACCACCATATTTAACCCTCCTTAACCACTCCAGTGATGGCATTCAGAGTTGAAGCCTTTATTAAAAAAAGATCGCTTCTAAGTTCTGATCACTGAAATAAGATGTGGAAAAGGAAAATATTAAAGATTTGTAGTTAGAGCAATGCACAATAACTCACTACATGATGTTACACGTTTCAGAACAAATAATATTAAATAAATAAAAGTAGGCACAAAAACAAATGTGTTTTGTGGTAAATATTTAATTCAAGAACTTTCATATTTCATTTTTAATTAGAAAATCTAGACTACAGAATTAGACTATGTCATCATCACAGTAAGTGAAACTGATACAGCTGCAAATAAACTAAAATATGCCCATTAAAGTGAGAACAGAAATCACAGCCCTGAAACTCCTCTGCATAGATTTAATGCTGTCCATGTTATGTCTGTACAGTGTGTGCTATTAGGTTTAATGAAAACAACATGCTGTATAGCAACTTCTAGTCAGTAGTAAACAAAACTATTACGGAAATAAAGCACCAAGTGAATGATTTCACATTCGTATAATGCACACAGAACTTAATAATCATAAAAAACTAAACATTTTAATTCGTTTAAAAGTTGGGCTTTATTTTTACTCATCAGTAAAATAGCGTTTTTAACACCCCACTTTAAAAATGAGGCCATCAAATTCTTGATTCTTTGAGAATAAAATATTCTGGTAGCTTTTATTCAATATTAAACTTGGTCCAGCTTAAGGTACACTGCTACATTTCATTTACGTTTTAACGGTCTCAGGATCCCATTCAACTGTCCTGGCTTAGCTGATCAATGACAAAAGCTATAACGTTGTCACCCCTCAACCATGATTCTGGTGTATAGCCAACAATTCAACAAAGGCACTAAACGACAACCAGCCAAGCACAGAAAAAATTTAGGCCCAGACTTGAAAATTTAAAATATGAACCTTTAACTGGTTGGCAATGTAATGAATCTCTCACTCGGGATCTGAGTCATGTACTTACTGCACCTCCACAATTCAGTTATTCAATGATGCATGTTTGCAACTAGCCTTTCTTCTTTTTTTTTTTTTTTTTTTGTATGTTGCTATGTATAAAAATAACCAACTGAGTCCAACTCCTGTAGTTTTAATGTTTAACACATGAGATTAATAAACTATAAATTAATTGTAAGGTTGTTTATCATAGTTACAGATTTCAAGAACTTGGTCAGGTATCACCCCTGGCTTTGATATTAAAATTTAAGAAATTTCTTTATATCCTCCAAAAACTTCTACTCTTTCTTTGTACATTGTTAGTTCTGAAATCTGAAATTCTAACACAATTTCCCTAAAATAGTTGAAAGAGACAAATGAGCCCAGACATAACATGAAACTAACAGCTAATACTAACAGTATTAAAGTATAAAAGCTGCTGAATTCAACAAATTGGAAGGTCAATGAGTAACTATATGTAATCTTTGGTTCTTACCAAATCTATAGAGCAGATCATAACAGTGCAAATGTTTCCTCTTTTTCTTAACATTTAGTAAACACAGTCATCACTTTTGCACACCACTGACTATATGGCACTTCTGTCTCTCAGGTCCTTCTAGGAACCGAATTAAGAGGAAGGTAAACAATTTCAAGCATTTTAAAACCAATGTTCTTTTGCTTTTTAAAATGTGAATATGTTTAGGTTCAATAAGATATCAAGAGAGAACTGAAGAGATATGGCATTATAATGTATACCCTTGCACAGGACAGTATATACGTATATCATTTAAAAATGTATTAAATTTTTTACCAACTTAGCAGTGTGTGATGCTTATTTCATATTTTCAATGTGCAAACCAGTGCAGTCATAATTAAAATGGAAGGCGGACATCCATGTGAATGTGCCGCATATGAGCTTTTAAGTTGCCTTTAGTTGCTGAACGGTGAGGGCAGTATGGACACTTGAAAGGTTTCTCTCCAGTATGAGTTCGTAAGTGTCGTTCCACATCAAGCTTGCTTCTAAAACCCTTTTGGCAGACTGAACAAAAGAAGCGCACTGGAACTCGAATGCTCTGAGCCATGGGAAGAAGAGGCATTGTTGAGCCATCCAGCTGACCAGGTAGAGGAGATGATTGAGTCAGGCCACTTATCCCTGAGGTGTGCATCGGGAGAACCTGAGAAGCGTTGTATGTAGCTGATGGCTCTAGCAGTTCCTCCGAGCATCCACCAGTACCTTCCAGAATCTGCAGCAGCTGCCCAGACACCATTCCTGAGAGCCCCTACAGGAGAGAACAAAGCTAGTCACTCTCTTGTCTGATGCTAGTGGTGCAACAATGCATCTTTGAAACCGTTAAGTAGAAATGACAGGAGCGTGTACTGTATTTAGTAGTCACCAATTCTTTGGTTATATTGGGCATAGCTTGTCATTGTGGACATTCTTGATATGGGCCTTGAGATTTCCTTTCTGTGCCATGGAACGCTCACAATATGGACATTTGTAAGGCTTCTCACCAGTGTGAGTCCGCACATGCCGACCCAAATCTGCTTGGCTGCGGAAACGCTTGAGACACACGGTGCACTGACGCCGCAAAGTCGCAAGAGTCAAGTTTCTGCCATCATCTTGCAAACCCCGCTTGGGCCAAACATCCTGCAGAGAAAACCGCAGTCTCAGCACCATTCAACGTATCAAAACGTTATCGTCATATGTCTTGACAAATGGGTCTGATCTTACTGTAAAACCACTGCTTCATGCATTTTCATTTTTATCCTTCACATTTACAGTAAATAAGAATAAATTAAAACCAGAAAACTTCTGCATGTTCAGAACATATACGAAGCACTCATTTTTTATTTTCTGATCCCGAGTAACAGTCCAATTAGAAACTGCACACAAAACTAGAAACCAATGCAGAAACTACGCTTTACAAACAAACCACGCCTTTCTTTGAAAAGATTCCCTGCCACTGATATTTGCACCATCTCCCACAACACTTTACTGTTCTATCTGACTTGTTACAAAATCTATTCTTAAGTCTGAGTAGCTTTTATTTAACAGACCAATTCTTACTTAGTTGGTAGAAGTCACAGTACACTGTTGACTTGTAATAGGCAATTCAATTTAAGACACTTCTTGTTAAGGTTTCCACAACTTGAGGTGGAGCATTGCGTAGAGCTGGGAACACGGTAGGGAGAGACTACAGTAGAGAGAGCCGCCACCCACAGAGGCCCACAAGGGACCACAGGACAGAACAGAACAGACGGGAAGCACCCCACACCACACCCGTGCTCAGACTTGCCAGTAGGTCACTAACAAAGTTTTTTTCTGGGGAGGGCTAATTATCATAATGATACTAAGTATTAGATCAAAGGCCATGAATAATCTGACACTTTCCTTTGTGAACTCAAATTATTCATTACACTGATCATAAAGTGACAAACTGCCAAGTTTAGCACACATAGCATCTTTGAAGATTCTAAAATAATAAGAGTGAACTAGTAATGCCATAATCTCCAAAATTTAATATTTAATTACAAGATGAATGTCAACATGAGGTCTGGTATAGTGAGACTAAGATGACATTACTAGTACAGTACTCTTCAATATGGCATAAATGAAATAGAAGAAAATGTCAAAACTCCTTATAACAACAATAACAACAATCTTTACTAAAATTTTATTCTAAAAACCACTTATTATTTTTAAGAATATTACAAATGTTATAAGGAGAAATCACTGAAGTATAGAAAGACAATGAATGCTAACAAGAGCTTCTGAAAAACTGTTTATTGAAGCTAGATCTCTTAGTATATGGAGTACAAGCTCTTGTTTTCACTCAGACACAACAAAGAAAGCACCTCTTTAGTGGACCCTCATTAAATCAAATACTGAAAACCCTTGGAAAATAATTTATGAATAATTGAGGTCAAATAATTACTTAATGGTTTTTAATGGTGCCATAGTTGTCCTTAAACACTCAAGTATCATACCAAAAGACAAATACTAATGATTTTGGGAGCCCATGCAATAATGAGGAGCTTTCCGAGTCAAATAGCGATTCACACTCACCCCTTGTGGTTGCTGGCCAGCTGGTAGATCTCCAGAGAAGCCTTCTGGAGGGAAACTGCTCGAGTCTCCCTCATCCCAAGGGAGATCTCCCTAGGAGAAACAAAATCATTCATTAATTATAAAGAAATACACCCAAAGATCAATGTATTCACTTTCTTATTTATATTTTATCTAAACAAAAAGTTTAATGTCAACACTTACACAACTTATAAAATAAATACAGAGAAATATTTTTTGGGTAGCACATGCTTGATCATCCAGCAAGCACGAGTTAGATCTGGGTGACTGTGACAAGGAGTTTTTGGTATTTGAAGTGTAACTGGAGTGTAAGCAAGTTTACATTCATAAAGGTACAGTCAGTTCTCATAAATCTATTCTAAATAGAATAGTGATTTTTTTGGTAAATGATACATAAAAAGTTCATCCAAAATTAATTAAAGCATACAACAAAGGTCTGCCATGTGGTATTCCATTTCAGGTGTACTTTTCAAATGAATTTACAGTAACAATTTATTATTATTTAGAGAAGCTTTAAAGGAGCTGAGAGTATTAAAAAAAAAAAAGTTGTTGGGCCTTAGTTCTGCAGGTGGAAGTACTGTACATGCATCTTGAAAGGTGAATGAAGTGGAATAATGCTGACTAGTAAATAGCCAAAGGCAAGTTGCAGAACAGGCTTTAATAGGAACACTTTTCCTCTCTGTCAAGATTGATAATGCTCTACACTGAGCAGAAAAAATCTGTCACAGTACAAGGTTGTTCTGCATCTTGTGTATTTGTGATGTCTACATACTTTTAACAAGACAGTTACTCAATATGATAGGTAGCTTTTGAACATGAAAAGTTTTTACTGTGTAGTTCATTCAGCACTCTTGGCAATAAAAAGTAAATACAACATTAAAGGACACAAAGAAAATGAACAAAAAAATAAATACTATTAGTATGAATAAAACAAATACTATCACACTGTTAGAACAACCAGCACTGGTTAAAAGTTCCACAAAACTGTCCAAAGACTTAATTAGAACTTCCAACATCCTTACAGGCACCCCAACAGAGTACAGTACGTAGTCCCCTGGGACCCATGGGGGATACGTTCCAAGACCTACCATGGATACCTGAAACTGTGGATAGTAGCGAACCCTACGCAAGTCATTTTACCATTTACATACATACAGTAGACTGTTATCTTACACGGATTTATTTACCATGCTTTAGTTATTGCACTGTTGAAAAACTGCAGCACAATTTCATACAACACTTCATAAAATTAACTTTACACGGTTCAGTTTGTGGGCACTGAAAAAATTTCCCCAGCTCAAGCTGCCACCATGTTGTGGGTTAGACCACTGTGTCAGTAGGGGAGACCTACCGCCATCCCCTGCCACCCCCATCTTAGCCTTCGTGAATACCTGTCTACCTACCTGGAGGGTATTCTGGGGATCAACGCCCCCGCAGCCCGGTACACTACCAGGTCTCCCAATGAATCAGGGCCTTATCAACCATGCTGTTACTGTTGACTGCATGCAACCCAAGTATGAACTACAGCCCGGCTGATCTGGCACCAACTAAGTATCTGTCCAGCTCCCTCTTGAAAGCAACCAGGGGTCTATTGGTAATTCCCTGTATGCACGATGAGAGGCTGTTGAACAGTTTTGGGCCCTGGACACTGTGTTTTCTCTTAGTATACCAATGGTGCCCCTACTTTTCATTGGGGGTATTTTGCACTGCCTGCCCAGTCTTTTACTTTCATAGGGAGTGATTCCTGTGTGCAGATTTGGGACCATTCTTTCTAGGATTTCCAAGTGTAGATTATGATACATCTCTCTCGCCTGCATTCCAACAAGCGCAAGTCAAGTGCTTCCAAGCGTTAGAACAGGGAGGGACAGCTATATACTACTCAAATCAACTCGAATGTATCAATAAATCTTGCACAAGGGACGAACATGGAGAATATATCAGTCAAATTTAAATCAAAAGACCTGCAAAAACCCCTCACAGTTATAAACATCTACAGAATACCACAGTCAAACATTTATCACTTTAGTGAAAAACTAGGAAACATGATTACTGATGCACACATGAATAAAGACCACCTACTACTAACAGGAGATTTCAACATAAACATACTACACGACCAGGACCCACAAGTAACCGAATTCACAAACGCAAGGAGTAACTGCCTGTTGCTACCAGCAATATTTAAACCTACAATAATCTCCGAGACAAGCATCTCCTTCATAGACCACATCTGGACAAACACCATATCCCCTTTAAAATCAGGCATAATCACAGACAACACTACAGACCACTACCCAACCTTTCTCATAACTAATCTGGGCAAACTGCCACAAGACATTACTAAAGTAACCTTCAGACTACATAACGAGACATCAGCTAACAACTTTATAGCAGCTATGAATAACATCGATTGGCAAAATGAGCTCGAAACATATAGCAGATATGAATGAATGTATAAATAATTTTCTAAAAAGCCTAATGCCTCTATAACAGACATTGCCCCAGAAAAACTAAACAGATCACAGCAGAGAGACTGAATAATCCCTGGCTAACACCAAGCATCCTCAAATCCATTAACACAAAGCACAAATTGAAAAACAGTATAGAATGGGTCAAATAACTAGAGAACAGTCGAAAATATACTCGTCAGAACTTACCAGCCTGATAAGAAGGTCAAAAAAATTGTAATATGAAAATAGATTACATAACATCAAAGGTGATATGAAAAAAACCTGGAAAACTTTATCTGAAATTATTGGAACTAAAAAGTTATCCAAAAACAAAACAATCAAACTAACAAAATCAAATGAACCCCTACTCACTCCAACCGAAACAGCAAACAGACTTAATGTTTTTTTCTCCACCACAGGAAAAAATCTAGCAAACAAAATCCCAAGCACAAACACCCGTCCATCAGACTACCTCATAGGTACCTACCCAAATACGCTATTCCTAGCTCCAAACAACCCCAATCAAGTTACGCTCATCATAAACACCCTTAACCCTTTCAGGGACTGTCCCGTAGATTTACGGCTTTACGTTCAGGGTCCAAACCGTAGATCTACGCCATGACCTCAGCTCACTCTGATAAACTGTGAGTGGTAAATTTGGGCCTAGATATGAGAGAATACATCTATGTGGTATGTGTGCACCACATAAAACAAATCCTGCAGCACACTGTGTATGAGAGAGAAAAAACAGACCATGATTTTCGATTAAAACAGCGACTTTGCAGTGTTTTTTCGTATGTTTTTTTATAGTTGTATTTGCGATTTCTTGGTCTCATTTAATAGAATGGAAGATATATTACAGAAAGAGATGATTTTGATTGGTTTTAGCACTGGAAATGGCTTGAAACTGAGCTCAAAGTAGTGGAAATGTTAAATTTTTGCCGATGTTCAAGAGTAAACAAACGACCGCACACATCTAGTCCAAACCAGCTGGTGGGTCTAACATACATTCACAAATGTGGTGATGATATTTACACAATTATTACAATATTGCATAACAGTAAATCTTCTGTTTTTTGGTGTGAATAAAAATTAATTATGTAAATAAAAAAATCAAAATGGAATTTATTTGTAAAGCCTGAAAATGTAACTAATGAACAGAGAAATGTTAGTTTAGTGCCAGGAATACCTACATTGTTTATTCTAGACCCTATTTTGAAATTGGAATATTTTGAACTGTGTTAAATTGGCCAAATTACCAATTTCTGATCACTTTATTTTGTAGTTGAAACAGTTGACTTCGCGATTTCTTGTGCTCAATCGATAGAAGTAATACTAGTGAAATAGCTAAGAATTTGGTTGACTGGAATAATGTAATTGGCCTAAAATGGGAGTCAAATTCGGCAAAATCTCCAATTCGTAAATATCGCTGACACATCAAAATTCGTGAGCACGATTTCGTCAAATTTCCATCAATTTCGTACTTTTTTTTTATTACCTTCACAAAAAGATTCTCTACCATTTCGTAAGAAAAAAATTATTTTTTTTTTTTAAATTTTTGGCCTTGGACCCTGAAAGGGTTAAAAACAAGGCAGGAGACATAAACAACTTGCCTGCTTTTATGTACAAAAAACCTTCTAAAGTATTGTCACCAATTATTGCAATGCTCTTTAACAAATCCATTGAATCATCTACCTTCCCAACAATCCTCAAAATAGCGAGGGTCACTCCAATCCATAAAGGAGGTGACCAAGCTGACTTGAATAACTATAGACCAATATCTAACTTACCACTGCTCTCTAAAATCTTTGAAAAATTAATTCATAGACGGATCTATTCCTACCTCGTTTCACACAACATATTAAACCCTTGTCAGTTTGGATTCAGGAATAATAAAAGCACAAAGGATGCTATCATACACATGCTAGAACTAATATATACCGCACTTGAAAAGAAAAGTCCCGCTTGGCATTTTCATTGATTTACGTAAAGTTTTCAACACAGTCGACCATGAACTGCTGTACTCCAAATTAATAAACTATGGTATCAGAGGCCACTCCCTCAACTACCTAAAATCATACCTTAGTAACAGAACTCAATATGTGTATGCAAATGATGCAAACTCTTCCACCCAACCAATCACAGTAGGAGTCCCACAAGGAAGCGTCCTTGGACCACTCCTCTGTCTCATCTACATCAATGATCTACCGAATGCATCACAGCTACTCAAACCCATATTATTTGCAGATGACACTACATATGTCTTTTCCCACCCAAACACAGTCATACTAGCAAACACAGTCAATGTTGAATTACAGAAAATATCTGCCTGGATGATGACTAACATACTTACCCTGAACACTGATAAAACCTACTTCATTCAGTTTGGAAACAAAGCTGCAAATGATCCAATTAACATAATGCTAAATGGATCATCAGTCACAAGACTCACGGAGGGAAAACTCCTAGGTATCCACCTTAACAGTAGCCTTAAGTTCCAGACACACAAACAACAAATCACCAAGAAAATCTCCAAGACTGTAGGCATACTATCAAAGATAAGGTACTACGTTCCACAATCAGCTCTCCTGGCACTGTACCATTCACTTGTATACCCTTATC